ACACAAAACCTCTAGCATGTGAGATAAGAAAGTTAGTATCGCAGCACCATCTATGCGGATAAAATTGGAACTAATGTCCATTGCCAGATGAAGGCGCATGTTAAACCGAGAAACTTTGCCAAAGACACCATTTCAATATAATGCAAACCCAATGCGCTAGAGGTTTTGTCTTGCTAATTACGGTTCCTGGCCCAGTGTGCAATGCCAGCTCGAAGCGTTTGCTAACTGGTGCAACTTGAACCGAATGGAGGTCAACTCCGCGAAGTGTTCAGTTATCACCTTTTCTCGCAAAAAGGAACCGATCATGTTCAATTATGTACTTCAGGAAACAACTATCAGCCTATCAACCACGTAAAAGACCTGGGAGTTATTCTGGATTCCCAGTTAACGTTTAAGCAACACATCTCGTTCATTGTCGACAAGGCGTCAAGATATTTGGGATTCATTTTCAGGATTGCAAAGAATTTTTCCGATATATATTGTCTCAAATCGCTATACTGTTCCCTGGTGCGGTCGACCCTGCCCTGCAGTATGGAACCCAAGCTATAACAATGGTGCTGAAAGAGTTGAGTCCGTTCAGCGTCGATTTCTTCGGTTTGCTCTGAGGAAGCTGCCTTGGAGAAACCCTTTTCGTCTACCCAGTTATGAAAGTCGATGTCAACTGATTGATCTGGAGCTTCTACGTACTCGGAGAGACACTTCGCGGGCTCTGCTCATCGCGGATAGTTTACAGGGTAGAATTGATTGTTCTACAATCCTGGAGAAGATCAACGTGAACGTCCAGCCCCGAGCGCTGCGAAATAACGTTATGTTAAGATTGCCTCAGCATCGCACTAACTATAGCATGAACGGTGCTATAGACGGCCTTCAACGTGTGTTCAATCGAGTTTCTTCAGTGTTCGATTTCAAACTGATACGAGAGATGCTACGCCGGCGCTTTTCCCGTATTTTCTCTGACGCAGTAAACCGTTGAATGACCATGTATTTTTTTGTATTGTGTATTTTAGTAAGCTGGACTATGTATTTTAATGTTATTCACTTAAACATCATTGGGGTTACACAGCAAAAAAATAATTTTGATATCACGTCAAAGTGGATGCACTACAATCATGTCGAAAATATGGTGTAATATTATTTGCTAAAAAGGACAAAATTATCATTAATACAATGCATGAACTGACATTACGCTGCTTTTACTGCATTTGTTTATTTATGTGGTCATAAAAATTACATGAAATTTTCGACATGATTGTAGTGCATCCACTTTGATGTGATATCAAAATTATTTTTTTGCTGTGTACACTCAGCCTGTTGATGTATACTAATAAATAAATTAATTAATAAATAAATAAATAAATATTATAAGGATAATTAAAAAAGAAAAGGTTGTAAACTATTTGCTTGACACATAAGACCTGTCATTATTGCTTTCAGTGCGTCACAATCAGTGATTTTACGATCCTTGAGCGATCACTCTGAATGAACGCTCATGAGTAATAAATTCTCTGATTGTGACGCACTGAAAGCGAAATTGACAGGTTTTATGGGTTGAATAGACACTACAAAATATCATTATAGCATCCAAGGGGCAGGACAGCTTTTGATCATGAGTAAAATCGGATTTAATGTTGAGTAACTCTGAGCTGCTCTGAGTGCCTCGCGTTGATAAACATCAAATACACATAGCAACCTGATTTTTGTGTTGCAATATGTCATCATCGGTGAGCTGAAACCGATTGATATACTTTTCTGCAAGGATTTCATATGCAACTGAAAACTGGTGCTGAAGTTTCTGCGGATGAGATACTAGTGATGCTGGACTTGCTGGATTGTATAATTCTGTCCGGTTATACAGAATGCACGGATTGTAACGGTGATTCAAGACGACCACCAGGCTTGAGTTAACGGATACCATCATCGATCGGATGGATATATTTGCAGAAACAATTGTAGCTGTTTTGAGATTGCGGCTTGTAGCGCCGTTTGTTTCTGCTTCTACCAGTGTTAAGCATTTTGCTGAATTTCCATGAATAGCATAATGGAATCCACCAACAAGAATGTCCAACTATTGAAAAAGAAATTGCCTGAAACTATTGTTCAAGCTAACAGGGAAAGTTTAACACTGAGCTCTCCTGGAATTCTCCGGAATTCCTTTTGGAATTCACTGCGTTTAAGCTCAAGAGCGGATAGTGTCCTTACGTCCCCGGAGATGAACCAGCCTGCGGCTGAAAATCTCCTAAATAGAGATAATAATAATAATAATAGTGTCCTTATGACAACATCGTCGGCTCATAACCTGCTATTCATCGCATCATTTTTCATTTGACTTCCTCGCTTGACAACTTTTAAAAGTAGCATCCACAAGCACCAGGATATCGCCACGAAGCTTATATGCAGGAGGAAAAGAAACGCATGATGTAATTAAGAAGGGCTAAGATTGTCCCCAATCGAATATCTTCGGGTACAATCTGAGCAAGGCCTCGGTGCAATAAATCTATGAGTTATCTTCATCAATACAAAGATAAGTCTTATTAAGACTGCTTAAGATGGGAACAATGGCGTTGCGAATATTACTCCGACCATGGCACTTATTAACTTATCACTCACGGTGAAGTGATTCCCATTTGATTTACACGGCCATCACTTCATAACAGTTGTCCCCGAGGAGAATTAAAACCTGTCTGAGCGATCACTTCAAGTTCCAGGTGTTCAAAAGGCTACTATCGATGAGATGTTTGTCACTTTCAAACAACTGCCAACCAACAATCCGTCCGACGAAATTACCAGGCTAGAGGAGCGCTTGAAGTCACACCTTCTATTGGCTTATGGGATATCGTCTGAGTGGAATCGCGTCCGCCTATGTAGCTCAATCTAACAGTGTAAAGTACAGGAAATCAAGAAAGAATTTCTACAATTTTGTTAATTTGAGTATTTTATAAAGTTAAAAGCACAATTAGGTTAATAATTTTTTGAATGTTAGTATTTTTTACATAGTACAACAATGCAAACCATATCTATAGTTATTTCACTTTCAGCGAAAAAACAATAGTCCTGCCGCAAACCCGTCTAAATATCATACGTACACACTTAGAAAAAATCTTGTAAATTTAGGTGCTCTGAGACTGACATATACGAGCGTCAATTTTGACAGAAAATTGAGGCATAACAGACGCGAAATTCAGCTTAATCAAACGTACTTTTCGTCGAGTGACGATCTTTCCAGTCTCGGCGCACTTAAATTTAAATGACATTTTTGTTTACGTCTCAACCCGTATGTCAAAGATAGATTCCGTCAGATAGATTCCGTGTAAAATTAGTTATTTCTAAGTGTGTATTCTACCACTTCTAGCACAAGATTACACTTCCTTCCAATCTCCTTACGACGACTTCTAGCCAATCCATTCTTGATGCCATCCCCGGTCTTGTTCTTCCGATGGTCGCGACTAGTTTTGGAACGCCACTGCTCATATTTACGATCAAATAACATTCCTTCCCACTTCTTACTTTCTAGATATAAGGAACTTTCTCGCCCCAGCCCTTTGATATAAGATTTCATTAGATATCGTGTGGTTTATACGCCGTGGTTGTGCATCCAGACAGAAACTAATACACCAGCTGAGGTTCACGAGTCGAGGGTAGATTACACCGTCATCGCCTAGAAAAAATGCTTAAGCTACGATAAATCCTGTGTTTTCATAAGAATCAAATTCCTGTTTACGATTTCTTGACAACTAATGCGGACTGATGTCACATAGCACTGATCAATCTGTTAAAATTTTATTGGTTACTAAATTTAACAAATGCATGATTTCAACTCAAATAAATAAAATCTCGGGTAGGTAGATGACGAACAAAGTGAGACTACTTTGATCAGTTTTGAGTAAAGGCCCAAACGCAATGTGGGTGGAAGCGGAAGCGGAAACGGAAAGCTTGACAGTTGTCACAAATGACATCAAGATGCCTAACCGAAGTCGATTTGATTATAACTAGTTTTCAATCCAACAAGTAGGCTTACTCAGGACGGGCTTTTCAGCTTCCGCTGTCATTGCGCTTGGGCCTTAATTATGAGTTGCTCAAATCTACTCGCTGCAAAACTATTTGCTCTGAGAACAGCTGACTTGCCCCTTGATAGCATCCAATGATTCCATAATTTCGATAAACATTTTTTAATAGCGAAGTGAGTGGAAGTAACTCTGATACCAGCTAATCAATAATGGACTGATGAACCGAAATCCACATGTTATAAAAATCGACACAAACAGATTTTCATGATTCCGGCCATTAGATAATCTTGGGTATCTTTGAATAATTTCCTGCGGATTATCAAAGCATCGAGGTAACCCTGCTGAGCGCTTCTGATACATGGAGTGTGCATCCATTCCATTCGTTTAACATTCTCAAATATGCGCTCCCTTTGTTTTTGGAAAAAACTAATCTTCCCCATACTCTGGGTTGCATTCCTATTTTCACCGGGTGTAAATTTACAAAAACTAATTCGCATAAAATATTCACACCACCAAAAAACTCCCCCGCTCCAAGAATATCAAAGATTATCTGCGACAGGATGAGTGAAAACGCAAATTCCTTTGCGATTGCTTTGCATATGATTATACAATTACACCTCTACGTATGCCGAGCGATGCGGAAAAGTCTCGGTGTCATAAATTCAACAACCCCTGCTTGCTCGCCGTGTAGAAGTTGTGAAAATTTATCTGTGCGTGTGCGTTTACCTTGGAATTAAACTTAAAATATTCACGCGAAAGTAGACCCCAACGTCGCGGGAATGGGTGCAGATGAAGATGTTTCCCTTCCGAATTTACATGTGTATTTCTAATTACTTAACATTCGCTCCAACGGAAAAGTGCCTGCTATTTACTGCAGCGAGGGTGGCATTCGAACGATACTTGTTTCTACCTTGTGATTGATTCCAACCAACCAATGTGGTGGCATACTCATCTAATGAAGATCTTTTCTTCTTCTTCTTATTTTTCCATTTTCAGATGCCGATAGGAACGTGAAACCAAAGCCAATAGAAAAACAATCTATTCAATGAAGCATCACGAGTGAAACTTCAGTCTAATCTACTTTTATAAAGTTTCTTAATAATTTAATAATTCTATTTATGTATTTATGTAACCCGTAAGCAACCTAATTTATTTATTTATTTAACTTATTCTAAACAAAAACTCAATTCAAAGAAAGCTATTAAACAAAAGCATTAAATCGCAAAATCATTCAGTAAAACTTCATCAGACGCGCTCGAGTCAGTAAAATTAATTTAATATTCCGACAAGTCATTAAGTCTAGAATTGTTTTGAAAACACAAACACACGCAAAAAAAAACCAAACTAAACAAACGACAGAAAAGTACAAATTTATCTCTAAAAGCAAACAAATCTAACAAAACAAACCCTGTGAAAATACGCAGTTGTGAACGAAAACTAAATCTAAAATTTTGATCAAAACAAGCAAAACACAAGAGTTGACAATAAGTTGATCCAAAAGTTTAACACAGAAAGGCACAAATCTCTCAACCGGAGCCAGTATTATTTCGCAAACTGACAAAACAAAAGCAAAACAAGTACAAACATACAACAACAACAAAATCCCGCTAACAAACAAACACATAAATAGTTAATACAAATACAGAGTAATAGTCTAAAATCCACACACAAAACAAAATTGTGCAAGTGTTCAAATAAAACCTACGATCTTAAGTGAAAATGTTACCTTCGCCGAGAGCCGGCGGAAGAAAGTGAGTGTTATTTTTTTGATACAAGAAGAAAAGAGTGACAGAACCAATATTTACCCTCCCGTCGGATTCAAAACGCCGTACACGCATATACGCAGAAGAAGCAGATGACGAAGAAGAGATAGTGAAAAATATACCAAAAAAATAAATAATAAAATATCCAATAGAAGCAGTTGTATCGAAGAGTGCAAATTCCGTGCTGCCAGTGTTCAAAAGTCTACCTCTCAGGAAAACAGAAAGTAAACAAATCAAGTGAGCTTTGAAAAAGTAATACAAAACAAAGGAAACCCGTGCATTTCCGGTGTTTGAAAGTTTTGGAAGATTTTCGGTTTCTCTAGTCGTCGGTTACTACGTTAAGCGAAGCGTAGCACGCGCGTTGTGATTTTTTGTGCCCGTCAAAAGCAATAGACAGTCTAAGAGATGTAGTATGACATCAATGATGAGTGCTAGCACTGCGGAGGAAACGGCCGACCATAGTTTACCTTCGTTTGCATCGTTTACAGCGGAGCTGGAGCCCTCATGGGATTACTACGACCGTCAGGAGCGTTCAAACGGTTCTACCAACGGGGGTGATGTCATAACATCCCAAACAAGCAATAGTAGTTATACCAGACCTTGGGAAATGGATTCCAAGGACCATCGTGCAGCCATCAGCAATGGTGGCGGTGGTGGAGGGGGTGGTTTCGAACCCTTCCCCAAGTTGCCATCATTTCAGAGTCAGTTCCATGGCTATACGGACACGGCCATGGGCGCAACGGAGCCCAGCTTGCCGCAGGTTACTGCCGTTCCGGTGCCGATTTCACCGAGTTCAGGTTCACCCGGAGCTGGCGGTTCGTTAACTCAGCTGACGCAGTTGACCCCCACTCCGCTGGCACCGCTTCAAAGTGGACTTGCGTCTATCGGAGGCTCCGGTTTCCACACGTTGAGTGCTGTCAATCCACGTCCGTACCCACTCGTACCTGCACCGATCCAAGCTCGTGATATCCCCACAATCAATCAGCAGTACATTGACGAACGCCACATCCAGCTGTATCAGCCTATTTCCAGCTTTCAACCGCAAACCATTCCCACCGTTACTGTGCTCAAAAACGAAGTTGTTGACTTTGATTTGTCCTCGCTCAAAAATGGCTCTATCCATCACAGCAACTTCCACAGCTCAATGCTGGAAGCCAACGTCTTCGTTCAAAACGGAGCTTCCCATCCGCATCATCATTCTCATCAACAACAGCAACAGCAGCAACATCACCACCACCATCACCATCAAACCGTGCATCAGCTGCACCAACCACAGCACAATCTGGTTACGCCATCAATCCAGGAACACCACATTACCAACAACAGCAAGCTGAACAGCTCGACGCCGAACCTGGACAGCAGTACCGGTGTCGGAGGTGGAATCGGCGGTGGCGGCGGCATGGGTGGTATCGGTGGCAGTGGTGGCGGTCAGTCGGCACAGATATCACGGATCGCCGACAACCGGAAAAAGGAACGGCGGAAAATACGGGCCCCCTCGCTCGAGTCCAGTGCCGAGTCCGAGGGTAGTGCAATGGAAATTGGCGAAAGTGGCAATCCGGGCCAGGTGGCGGCCATCTCCAGTACGGCCAACTTCAAGAGTCCGATGCATACCATGAGCATGGATACGGACGACGGGGCCATGCCGGGCGAGAAGAAGGTGAGTTTGGTTTGAATGCCTTCACTCAGTGATGGATCGCTCTTTTCGGACTTTTTTTCATTATTTTTTAACCCATCTTAAAATAGATAGTTTAGTGCTGTTAATCTCCCTATCAAAATTCAAAATATCCGCACCGTAGAGCCACACTCTGTGTTTTCACTGATGCTACACTCGAGAGCGCTAAACTATGTAATTTAAGATAGGTTAACTGAAAATTCAATTGGATTTAACGTTAGCATTCTGAATTAAAAAGTAATGAAAAGTCCCAAAAGAGCGAACCATCCCTACTTACACTGAACCAAAACATCCTCGTATGACTGAAGAAGAAACTGATTGGATGGCGTGCCCTTTTACAATATGCTATCGAATTTCGGATGGTGGTCCTATGGTTTAATTCGCTATCAGATGGTGAGAAATGCTATGACTATTGATAAAGAGTGTCCCAGAAAGTATAAGCACAGTTTGGAAAAAAAAAAACGTTATGTTAATGGACTCAAATTTTTATTTCATAAATAATATTATGTTCTCTATAGTATTCTCTTTCAATTGGATGCAAATAATTCGCAGTTCCAGTATGCCAAGGAGCAAACTTAAGATCTGACGCTGTTGAGCGATAATATTGGCTACTTTTGTCTAGTCTTTTTCAAATTCTTCGATTGAATTTGCTGCTTTAAAGTGTTTCCGTAGATACCCCTTGGCAAGGGCCCAAAAAGTTTCGATTGACCGGAGAATTCGGAGAATTAATCTCTTTTGGAACGTATTGCACTTTGTTTGCTTTGTACCAAGCTACTGTGTCTTTCGAGTAGTGCATTGACACCAAATCGGACCAAAATAGTATTGGGCGATCATGTAGACGGATCATGGGCCGCAGACGCCGATTCAAACACTCCCGAACGTAAATTTCACACTCACATATCGCTTGCCAAACCATGGCCTTCTACGATTTTTTTTCGGTAAAAATTGACTTATCGGCATTGTCAACTTCCTGATCATCACAGACTGTGTAGTATTAGTCTCCCGGAAGCGTCTTCTAGTCAAATTTGACATACGTTTCATCGTCCATGGTAACACACGCCAATTTTTCACACAGCAGGCTATCATATAGCTTCCGAGCACTCTGTTTGACGGATGCGGCTTGTTTCTGAAATCGCTTCTTCTGCGTCTTGAACGTTTTCAGCCCGTTTCTCGCCTTGGCACGTTGGACGTTACTCTTCGATGTTCTCAGTTTTTTGCGAGGGGGGTGACTCTATCTAAGATGCAGGAAATTTTTTGCTTTGCTGTTGTGAGATGCACTCGCGCTTAATAGATAGAAACACGATTGATTATGATTTTCAAAATTTCTTGCAAAAAGGTGGAGAGCAATGCAAGTAGATGGGTTTAGATGCAAGAGATGAAAAAAGATTTTTCGAAGATTGATTCGCTAGTGTGAGATTTTTCGACCATTTAAAATCGAGATTTAGATGTGTCGCACCCCTCGGTTTTTTTGCCAAATCTCGAACAGAGGCACTTTTCTTATTGACGAAATCCTGATTATCTTCTGGCTCACTTTTTGGTCCAAAGGTCCCGGCTTACGGCCAGATTTGGATGTGTCCTCGAAGGTAACTTCTTCTCCGAACTTCCAGATGGCGGTTTGGATTGCTCCGATACTTACTTCCTCCATTTTCGCCAACTTCTTTACTGATAGGTTGGGAACAAGGCACCATCTTTTTTAACTAGTTCGTTTATTTACTAGGCTCAGTCGTGTGTGACACTTTGCGGAGCCAAAAATCAGTAATGTTTGAATTTACATTTTATACAGCAGTAGTTCTAGGTTAGTATTGGGTACCAATTAGTAGTGGTGGGCTCGAGGTTAATGGGTAACAATTTCGATTGGAAGGAGCTAGGTAGGAAACTGGTTTCTGAAGCCTCCTTCAGATACTACTCTCGGACGGTTGACCAAATTCTGGCTGGGCAGGGGCAAGTAGCACAGAAACAGCAGGATAATAAGATTTGGACACAATGGCTGGAAATTGGTTCAAACTCTAACATCAGACAAACAACGGAATTCGTAGATCGCCTGCATGTAGAGAAGATCACGGGTTCCCAATACATCTCTTACTTCACGGAAGGGTTGTCTACCTCGGGCCACTAGGATATCCAATAGTCGTGCTTTGGAGACGTCATTACCTGGGCAATACCAAACTGCGTGATCGATGTCATCATAACCGGTTCTGCACCTACATATATTGCTTTGAACGAGGTTTATTCTGTAAAGATGTGCGTCTAGCGAGTAGTGGTTGGACATAAGTCTAGACATAACGCGAATGAAACCCCAACTTACATCCAGACCTTTGAACCACGCTCTCGAAGAAACATTTGGAATAATGGAATGTAACCACCGCCCAAGAGGATTACTTGTCCAATCGTTTTGCCAACTTAAAAGAGAACTCATGGGAAAAATTCATCATGTGAAATTATTCTATCATAAATCTCGCCTTGTTGTGTGCCCACCTTTGCGATAGAGTCTGCCTTTTCATTGCCTGGGATTGAGCAATGTGAGGGGACCCATATAAAGCTAATCCTATATGATCTGTCGACCAGCAAACTCATCTGCTCCCTTACCTTTGAAAGGAAATAAGATGAGTGCCTACCTTGTTTCATCGTCCGAATAGCCTCAATCGAACTGAGACTATCCGAGAAGACTAAGTAATGGTCTATAGGCATGTCGGAAATCATCCCCAATGCGAAGTTGGTTGCTGCTAGCTCAGCAACATAAACGGAACACGATCTGTTTGCGCTTTCCCGGGAAATGCCTCGCATTTTGATGAACAATAAGTAAACACCAACACACATCGATGAACAGCTGATAAACTTCATTTAGATTTTTTGTTCAGTGTTGGTAACGCTAAAATAATCGGTTCATCTGCGATTTGCGTGAAGCCCAATCGTGACTCTTCGATTGTTGTTTATGTTCGTAAATTCGCGAAAGAGAAGGGAGAAGCAAAATGAACCAATTTCAGATGATTTTTTTTTAAATGATTTTGGTGTTTTTGAAAAAATGAGACAAACATTTTCATTACACCCCGTCATAAATAGAATGATTCGAGGTGAGCCGGATTATTTTTAATATAGAAAAACTGCAATACTTGTATTTGTTGCATTATACCGGAATTGTAAAAAAATGGTTCGATTTGACAGATCGAAATTGGTTCGATTTTGGGGTCCGTCTTTGCATCACACAGGTTGGGCCGTGACGCAATTGAAGCAGCTGGATGTCAAAATCTTCTTTTAAATTGAAGTTGACAACTAGGCTTTAATTCTTTCTAGGGGTGAGCAAATGCGAATGCTTATTTGAAATTCATACAAAAATAATAAAAATTTCACACATTAGGTTTAACTACCCCATTTTCGACCTATTAAGTACAACCCGCACTTAGTCTTTCTTAATCTAGCGCAGCTGTAATTATTACTGGCTTCTAAACTTATTTACCTTTCCGTACGTACCATACGATTTGATAAAGAGAATACAATCGTTGAGATATTGTCAAAAGTCTAACACTGCTCCTTGACGCCAAACTCGGCCTACGGATTCTGAACTTGGCCTAACGCATTGAAACGTCATTGAAACGTCAATGAATTCACTTCGGCCTATCGGATGAAGATAAAGATTGATTCGGTCTGAGCGCTTCTTTTGTTTTTGGTAATAATGGGTGCAAACCTTCATATCACACGTTCTCATTGACTTCGTTCGGTAGCTTATTAACTAAAGTATCGTACCAAACGCATAGTTGACTTGTTAACTCTGAAATTATGGATTAATTTGAAGTTTTCTGCTCGATAGACCCAAAATGGGCGCTTAGGCCGAAGTAGTTCTCTACCCTATAGGTTTTGCTTTCGATACTCAGCTTCAAATAGCTTAGTTCTCAAGTATTTGAGTCGCGTAACCTCTGACACATCGTTTTCTACGTACTGAATAATCTTGCCAAATGATTACATTAGTGAGTACAGTGTTGGAAAAATATCGAAAAATCAAATCTCACCAATGCCCAAGATCACGCTTGATTTTCGTAGACAAAAATCAACAAGCAAACAACTGTGGTTGATTTTGCAAGCTGTGATATCGCAGCTCGGAATATCAAGCTAACAAAACTCACCAACTGCAAATCTCACCAAACTGTGGTAAGATTGAGTTTAATGATTTTTGCTTTACACTCAAATGCAACCGAAAGTTCCATAACGGCTGGCAGCAGTCCCTTCGTGTATGCCATCGGTGAAGAGTAAAAAGAGATAGCAAACTAAACTTTCTCTTTCTAAGATTTTAGCTTGATTTTTGCACGTTGTGAATAGTCTCGCAATATCAAAGGAGCTTTTAAAATCAATATCAAGCATGATATTTTGTTCCAATATCACGCGTGATATTGAGAACGTATGAGAGCGGAATTTTTTATTTGATTGATGATTTTGCCAACACTGAGTGAGTACATTAGTGAAATCCTGCTTTGCTGTCGGTTCCTCGTCGACTACCACTAGCCCAGATCTGGATACGTTGCCTGAAGCGCTCTGGTCGGTTCACATCACATCGCATCACTGGTCTGCATTTCAGCTATCTTCTCAACTTCTGCTATATGAGCGATTTTATATAATCTGCACCTTCCACGAGTTTCTTATTGTGGAAGTACTTATTTTCTCCCATGATCGTTGATCTTACGACAACTGTTCATCTTCCAAGACCAGTTCCCAACATGAGCTTTCTCTTATATCGCATCATGATGGCAATAATTTCCACCTGATCCATCGGTTGGCATTCACTGGTGACGAAGATAGAATCACCTGAATTAAACCATAATCACTCTTCAGGTCGTAACCATCATGGTGCGCTGAACAATTGTTCAAAACCAATAGCGCTTTTGGCTCAAGACTTTTTTCGTGACAGAACTTTCGTACAGCTGGTACACATTTTTCCTCAAACCCTTTTTGGAACAATATGCGTGTCATCTGCGCTTTTTTCGAGGAATAGTATG